AAATTAATAAAACCTTAGCCAACTTTATGAAAAAAGGTAAGAAAAGACCCAAACCCATGCAATTAGGAATGAAAAGGGTGAAATCACAATGGATCCTGCAGAAATCTAGAAGTTCCTCAATACCTACTTCGAGAACCTGTACTCTAATAAGATAGAAAACACAGAAGAAGTGGACACATTCCTAGATATATATATATGTTACGAAAGCTGAATCAAGGAGACATGAAAATTCTAACCAACAAAATATCAAGAAATGAAATTAAAGATATAATTAAAAACCTATCTCAAAGAAAAGAGATAGGGGTCCTGATCAATTCACTGCTGAATTCTACAAGAACTCTAGAGAAGATCTAACGCCACTACTCTTCAAACTCTTTAATGAAATTTAAAAGGAAGCAATACTCCAAAAGTCATTCCAGGAAGCAAGCTTTACTCTGATACCAAAAAAAAACCCAACCAAAAAAAAGAACTATAAGTAAATCTCCCTAATAGATGCAAAATTTCTCAGTAAGATACTGGCAAACAGAATGCAACAAATCATCCAGAAGATTATATACCATGACCATGCAGGATTCATCCCAGGGATGCAGGGATAGTTCAACATATCCAAATAAATACATACAAACATACATACATACATACATACATACATACCACATTATGAGAAACAAGGACAAAAACCACACAATCATCTTAATAGACACAGAAAAAGCATTTGACAAAGTCTAACACTCATTCATCATAAAAACCCTACAGGAAATCGGAATCAATGGTAATTATATCACTATATATGGTCAATATATCAAAAATCATCTAATGACAAACATACAGCCAACATAATACTAAATGGTCAAAACCTGAAAGCTTTCACTCTAAAATCATGAACAAGACAACAATGTCTACTATCACAACTCTTATTCAATAGTTCTTGAAACATAAGTGAGAGAAACTAGAGAAAGAAATAAAAGAAATATAGATAGGAAAGGAAGAAATTAAATTATCATTTGCAGATGACAAGATACTCTACATAGAAGACCACAAAAAGACTTCTAGATTTAATAACCAAATTCAGTAAAGTAGCTGGATACAAAGTGAACACTCAAAAATCAATAGGATTCCTGTATGCAAATAACAAACTCACCGAGAAAAAGAAATTAGGGAAATACCTTTCACAATAGCATTGAAAAAAATGAATTACTTAGGAATCAATCTCACAAAGGAAGCAGAAGATCTTTACACTGAAAACGACAGTACTCTGAAAAAGTGTGTGTGTGTGTGTATGCGTGCGCGTGTGCTGTGCTCAGGATTGAACAAGGGTCTCTACACTGAGCTGCACGCTCAGCCCTTTCTAAATTTGTTACTGTAAGACAGGTTTTAGCCAAGTCTCTAGGCTGGGATCAAACTTTTTTTTTTGGTACTGGAGATCAAACTTGGGACCTTGTGCCTACGAGGCAGGTGCCAAAACCACTGAGCTAAATCCCTGGCCCTGGGCTCAAACTTTTGATCTTCCTGTCTCAGCTTCCCAGAATGCAGAGATTATAGGTATGCATCACCACACCTGTTTTATAACTTTAAATCTGTCAATTTTTTAAAAAAATTCTTTTATTGGTACATTTTAGGTATACATTTACATTTATCATGGGTGCTTGTACCTGTGGATGATGTACCTTAGTTCTTATTTTTTTCCCCCATTACCTGTGCGCCCTTCACCCCTTCCACCCTTCCCTATTTACATAGATTTCGTTTCCATTTTTTTTTCTTTTCTCATAATTTTTCCTTTCCCTTCTTTCCTTTCCCCTTCCCCTCCCACCACCCCTACACCTTTGGACCTTTTGCTATTTCAAATTATCAATTATTCGCTTTAATCATTTTAATTCTTATTTACACGTTCAGTTTCTCACACTAGAGAAACTATGCGGTATTTACACATGTGTGTCTTATTTATTTCACTTAAGAGTATGGCCTCAACATGCATCCATTTAGCTATAAATGTCTCTAGTTTCTCATTCTTTATGGCTGAGTAGTACTCCATTTTATTAAAAAAACACATCTTCTTTATCCAGTTTCCAGTTGGACACCCAGGCTGTTTCCAAGCTTTAGCTATTACAAACTGTGCCACTATAAACATGGGTACACATATATCACTGTGGTATGATTCTTTTAATTCTTTGGGGAAGATACCCAGCAGGGGAATAGCTGGGTCAAATGGGACCTCTGGCCCTAGTTCTTTGAGGTATCTCCATACTGATTTCCACAGTGGTTGCACCAGTCTGCACTCCCTCCAACAATGGAGAAGGCTTCCTTTGTCCCCACACACCCACCAGCACTTGTTATTGGTTGATTTCATGATAGCAGCCATTCTTTCTGGGGTGAGGTGGAATCTCAGTGTTGTTTTCATCTGCATCTCTCGAATGACCAGTGATATTGAACATTTTTTCATATATTTATTTGCTGCTTTTACTTCTTTGTCTGAGAATGTCTGTTCATTTCAGATGCCCATTTTTGAATTGGGTCTTTGAATTTGGGGGATCTGTAAATCTGTCAATTTGTTAATAGCTTTTCCCAACAGTACCAAGAATCCAATAGTCCCCCAAAAAGCTTTTGAAAGATTTCAAATCTAAAGAAAGATTGAGGGATCCAGGGACAGAGAACACAACAAATACCAGCGTTTCCTCTTCTGAATTCACTATTAGAGCCCTCTCTTTAAACAAAAACATTCTTTCTCTCTTTTTGTTTTTCTTTGAGACAGGGTCTCGTTATGTAGTTTAGGCTGGCCTTGAACTCACTATATTGCCCAGGATGGCCTCAAACTCATGGTGATCCTGCTGCCTCAGCCTCCTGAGTGCTGGGATTACAGGGGTGCTCCACCACATCCAGCTCTTTCTTGAAATATACAAGTACATTTTATTTTTCTAATCATTTGATTGAGCATCCCTAACATGAAACCTAAAATCTGAAATGTTCCAAAATCTGAAAATTTTTGAGCTCTAATATGAACCACAAGTGGAAAAGCCCACACCTGACACCATTTTATGTCAGTCAAAATACAGATGCACTAAAGATATTTTTAAAAATTACCATCTGCTTATGAATATAGGGTATATAGGAAATAAAAATTAATTTTGAGTTTAGACGTGGGTTTCATCTTCAAGATGTCTCATTATGATTATGCAAATATTCCAAAATCAAAAAAAAGTAAAAAATTTGAAACACTTCTGGTCCCAATCATTTCAGATAAGGGATGCTCAACCTGTACACTACTATACCCAAGATTTAAAACTGATCCTATCACTAGCAGAGAGTACATATACAAATTGACCCTAATAAAAGCTATTTAAGCTCTTTGTAGATGTGTGCATGCACACTCACATTTTAAACAGGTCTAACTGAAATTCATGTGTTGCATCTGTCATGTCTGTTCTAAAATCTAGAATAGTTTTTTTTCCCCTGACTTTCGTAATTTGGACATTTTTAAAAGAGTCCAGGTCAGTTGCCTTGCAAATGATTTAAGGTATTTTTTTGTATTACATATAATTTCAACTTTTTTTTTTCTTAGAACATGTTTGTAATACATGATGCTTATACTCTGTGTGTGGAGTTGGTGCATGTACATAACACATCTTACTTTCTTTATTCATCCCCTTTCTCTCCCCTTCTCCATTTCTTGATCCCCTTTCTATTTAAGAAACATCTCCTTACTTCCTATTATCTACCTTTTATTTTGCTCTTTACTTACATTTTGGGCTACACATACATGAGAAACCATGCCATATGTAAGCTTTTGAGTCTGATTTATTTCACTTAACATTGTAGTCACAAGATGCATCCAATTTTCTATAAATGACTCAAGTTTATCCTTCTTCATGGTGCAGTAGTGCTCTATTGTGTATAAATACTACATTCTTTACCTATTCATCTGTTGACAGACATATAGACTGCTTCCAAGAGTTAGCTATTATGAACTGTGCTGCTATAAACATGGATATGCATGTAACACTGTTAATATGATGTCTTTAACTCTTTTGGGAAAATTCTTGAAGGGAAATACGTGGGTCAAATGGAATTTCTAGGTTTAAATTTTTGAGAAATCTCCATACTGATTATATATA